CGCCCATACCCCGCTGAAAGTGAAATAGTTGGCCCCCAAAAGGTGTATACAGAAAAACAATTGAGGACTTTGCTTAGATTTTATTTACTTTACAAAGCATGAACTCAAGCAGAATGTAAATTTGCTGACAGAGGTACATGTACCTTAACACACTTTAAAGTTGCAGTTATGGGCTGTCATTTAGATCCTGCTGTTATGTATTGTTATGCAGGCAATGTTGAACTTGTTCTAGCTATGCTTGTTGGGTTAAAAGGACATACCTTCATGAAAGGGTGTGGCCAGGAGGGGGGCACGACTCCAATAGCGCCTGGTACTTGTTTCGTATACCTATGGTCCACCGATTTATGACGTCACATCTGGTCCGGCCGCGTACTTCTCTCCCGCGGGCAGGAAAATCAAATTTGACAGCAACAGTTTCCTTTCGTCGGTGAGTAACTTTTAATTTACTGCGTTTCTTTTCTTGTTTCTCGTACAGACTAAGACAAATATGTGTTCTCTTACCTCATTTCATTAGCTAAGTGACGAGACTAATTTGATACTTTAAAATGTGACGTTTTTTAGCCTTGCCTTCGTTGAAAAAATGTCGTTATTTCTTTTGCCCGAATTTCAGACGATTCTGTAAATCACTGGAAATCATGAGTTCTTGGTAAGCACAACTTTATTCAAATATAATTTCCTGTGGAGTAATAATCCGCGTAGCAAAAAATGACAAATTAAGCGTTCTTCACTGGTCAGGACTCCGTATCACGCCTCGTTTTTGTGGGAAAGTGGTCCAGAAAACAAGCTGCTTTCTTCATTGACCGTAACGCGTAATAGGTACTTTGCACACATAGTCGAAAAATAGGGTGCTCTTTGTGACCACCCAGACTTTACTTCAACCTTTTTTATATTACTCCTTCGCTTGGGGTTCACCTTTGTCTACTGGAGTAATTTAAGTAGTAATATTATGGTTATCAAAAGGTTATCCAAAAAGATTAAAATTATGCTTATAAAGGGCAGTATTTCCGTGATCAATTTTTTTGTACCCAAGTTTGCTGAACAATCCAAGCAATGTAAAACCAATGACCTGGCCTGACTTTGGATGGCTTTCAGAAATCAAATATTAATGTACAAAAATCTTTCACCATGAACCCTGAGATGTGCTTAGTTAGCTTGTTGTTTTTTTTTATGATTTAGTAAATGTTCCCTGCTAGTGACACAGATCAAATCACAGAAGAAAGGGTGGAGAGCTTATCAGAGACAGGGGACTTAATAAATTTTGACTGTTGAAAATGGAGCCTATAACAAGAGGGACTATGGTAAAAAAATATTCACAGCCCCTATGGTACAAATGAAAACTCAAGAAGAATCAGATTGAAAATTGTCAATCTTATTTTCTACGGTGGCCCACAACTGTCACATCAAATACAAATTACTCACATTAAATACAAATTACTCACATCAAAAAACAAATTGCTCACATCAAATACAAAATCCTGACATCAAAAACAAGATTAAACGGTCAGTGGTTGGAGAATGAAAACCATGTCCAGTTTTCACTCGGCCTTGACCCGACCGCCATTTTGTTACTGCATATGGTATTGTCGTCGGGTTGTTTTGCAGCAACTGCGGGAAAGGTAAATTAAGGATAATGAGTGATGGTCGACAAAGACAAAGATAGTGTAGTGGTTGCTCGAAGGAACCGCACTAAAATTAAGGAGTTCAAGATTCAGGACTCAACGGCAGCGAAATCGTCACTTCAAATACTCCTCGCGATTGTTTCAGGTCGCTCAGTTTGCCAGATGTGGGTGAATCTGTCTGGAGTGAAATTGTTAACAAATTCATTAAGTTCAAAAGGAGAGACTTCGTTTGTTTGTGTCCTCCTCAAAACTTACAAACAGGATCCAAAACAGAACATTTCTCGTCGTAGTCATCTGGGGGGGGGGGGGACTTCCTTGTAACAGGCTAATGGGGATGTGCCGCTGGATGGGGTCGCATTTTCACGACTGGAATGACTATAATGGGGTTGAATTTTCAATAGAGTTACTAGAATGGGGTCGCACATTTTTTGATTTTAGAGGTAAGACAGTTCTTTGTAATTACGGTTAGCAAATGTACCAGAATGTTTGTACTGTAGGTGAAAAGTAAAGCAGTGGCGGATCCAGGGAAGGGGTCCGGGGGGTCTATGACTGGCCACAGAATAGACTATAATGGGGTACGGGCCCTGAGAGGCCAGCGACACATACCCAGCAAAAATTAACCAAAGTAACCCCCGGTAGTCGAGCAATGTTGGCAAAGAAATGTACCAAAAGGCGTGATGCCCATTTTTAGGTTATTTACCATATTGCACAAACAGTAGATTTCTATAAATCTTGTTTCTTTAAAAAGAAGTGCACTCTGTCTTGAAAACTCAAACTTGTGTTTGATGAGGTTCTGGATTACAAACTGTATGGAGTCTTGTTTTTCCTCCAAGAATTTTTTAATCCTTTCAATTGAATGTTAAACCTATTTAGGATTTAACCAGGATAATCCAGGGCCAAGCACCACCTCTAGTGCACAGGAAGCAAGTTCTATCAAGTCCACCAAATCTGTCAAGACATTTACAAAGTATAAGGCAGCTAAAGGCAAGCAGTGGTTTTCTAAAGTCAAAGGTGGGAAGGCTAAAAGTAGAAAGACCTCGACGGCAGACCAGGAAGTGCTCATCTATATTGGTTTGCTCGAGTGGAATGAAAAAGAAAGGGTTCTCAAACCGAAGAGGAGAAAAAAGGTGGCCCTGCGAATTTTAAATTCTGCAAAATCTTCACTGGTTCGCCAAAAAGCTGAAGAGAAATGGAAGGAATTTTATAGTAACTTCTACGACGAGAACCAAACCTATCTACTTCATCATGAAGATGGGCAGAAAGTTCTTTTTTTGCCTGGGACTAGTGAACTGTTTACCTTAAAGCGATACCAGGAGGAACTGGGGAAAGATTATAATAGAATTTACCTGTATCTGTGCACAAATGAAGACTACAACAATACTGTCATGAGTGGTGATGACAGTGAAGATGTCTCGTTTACCTAAATGTTCCAAGCCTGTTGATGACAGTGAGGATGACAGCATGTCTCGTTTACCTAAATGTTCCAAGCTTGTTGATGACAATGAGGGTGACACTATATCTCGTTTACCTAAATGTTCCAAGCTTGAGAGTGTCCTAACCGTTACTATACCTGAAGAACAAATTAAACTGGATGAAGAGTTTGCAAGACAATTAGATAATGAGCTGAACCAAGTAGATGTAGAAGTTGAGATAGTTGTTGAAAACAGTGATAATCTACAAGTACAATCACGTGATGGGGAAAGTGCTGAAAACGTACCCAAGAAACCCTTACTGACCATGTCAGTGTTGTTAAGGAACTCAGCAAAAGTGTTGATAACAGGTCAATTCTTTATTGTGGTGCGCAGGGCTTCCAATTTCACAAGATGCTTGAATCTGTGGCGTCGTGAATCAATAAGAACCACGCCAGACAAGTTTTAAGAGTTCACTTCACAGGGGAAGATGGAATAGACAGTGGTGCCATGGCTAAAGAGTTCCTTGCAAAAGCTATAGCAGACATGGGAAATATTATGTTTCCCTCTTGCAGTCCTGTGGATTCAACCTACAATGTGCAGAAGGGATATTTCCAGTCTTGTGGAGAAATTGCTGCTGTAAGCCTGGCTCAAGGAGGTCCATCACCTTGTGTCTTACAGGGATGTGTTTATGAAAGTATGGTCAACCCAGAAACTGACTTTAAGGTGGCTCCGTAATTGATACAAGAGCATTTAGCTGTGACAAATTTTCGATTTTAACGCGATGGCTGCGAAACTTTACAAAAAACAACAGATATCATTCCGCAATAAAACGAAATATTCCGATTTCATTGATGGTAAATATTTCTTGAGAAATTAGTGCCTAAAACGACCCTACTGTTCAAAGAAAATCGCTTCTAGTAAAAAATTTTGCTGATATTTTTTACTGAAATTTCTGGCATCGACTTTAATTGATATAATAAATATGCCAGAGGAATTTCAGAAAAATCGTTGGAGCAGAAGTCCGTAACTAAAAGTCGCTCAAAATTCAGCTGTGAAATTGTTTTGGAATTTCAAAAATAAATTACTATCAGGAAGAAGGACACACCAGTTTGAATTTTCGGGAAAAGTAAATTCAGTGATTGCTAATTCTGAAAACAGAAGCCGATTGCCTATCGTGCTATTCTTTAAAAGGTACTTTTCACTTTTAGAAGCACTATAAATCGCTCCAAACTTTGCTTTGACGTCGAATGACTTGTTCCTCGACATTTTTAAAATATCCCTTGGCAGTTTTGGTTCAAACTCCTGCTACATACATTTTGATGTATTGCAATGCATCCTCAACGGTTTTTCCTGCTGTACGTTGTTTCCAATTCAGGAAAAAGGTATTGGGATTGTAAGCTACCTTGTATCGAAGCCCAGATAGAACTGTCCAGCACCTTTGTTTATGACCAGAAAATGAGCACGAGCGGCAGCCCTGCGAGGAATTCGCACCTCAGCCAGGGGGGACGAATGACAATGATGCCCATGTCTGTGAACCGATCTGTATAAACATGTATTGCAGAGCAAAACATAATAATCAAGGAAAAAATACCCATTCATTGAAGGAAGGAGTGACAAAAATGTCAGAGTTGTAAATTTATTCACGGGCAGTATTTTTGCCATAATTTTATTTTGCACTGTGATGTTATTCGGTTCACAGGCATGGTCATCATTGTCGTTCTTCCCCCCTGGGTGAGGTGCGAATTCCTCGCAGAACTGCCGCTCGTGCTCTTTTTAAGTCATAAACAAAGGTGCTGGAGAGTTCTATCTGAGCTCTGATACAAGGTAGCGTCCAATCTCAATACTTTTTTCCTGAGTTGGAAGCAACGAACAGCAGTAAAAGTCGTTGAAAATGCATTGCAATACATCAAAATGTATGCAGCAGGAGTTTGAGCCAAAACTGTCAAGGGATATTTTAAAACTGTCGAAGAACAAGTCATTCTACTTCAGAGCAAGGTTTGGAGCAATTTATAGTGCTTCTAAAACTAAAAAGTACCTTTTAAAGAATAGCGCGATAGGCAATCGGCTTTTGTTTTAAGAATTAACAAACGGTGAATTTACTTGTCCCGAAAATTCAAACTGGTGGCTCCTTCTCCCTGATAGTAATTTATTTTTGAAATTCCACAACAATTTCACAGCTGAATTGTGAGCGACTTTTAGTTACGGACTTCTGCTCCAACGATTTTTCTGAAATTCCTCTGGCATATTTATTATATCAAAGAAAGCCGATACCAGAAATTTCAGTAAAAAATATCAGCAAAATTTTTTACTAGACGCAATTTTCTTTGAACAGTAGGGTCCTTTTAAGCGCTAATTTCTCAAGAAATATTTACCATCAATGAAATCGGAATATTTCGTTTTATTGCCGAATGATATCTGTTTCTGTTTGCAAAGTATCGCAGCCATCCCGTTAAAAACCAAAAAGTTATGACGGAAAATTTGTCACAGCAAAATGCTCTAGTATAAATTACGGAGCCACCTTAAGAGCTTGAATGTAGAGCACATTACAGCAGAGAAGACGATGCTCGAAAATATCCAACATGACTTGGATAACCATCGTGACACAATTTTAGATCATGGTTACACTGGTGTTAGGGACCGTTCATTTTTTACGAGGTAGGGGGGACTGGTGGAATTGGGGGGCGGTCACGCAAAAAAAAAGGCTTAAAAGGGGGGCCATCCAAAAAAAAGGAGGGAAGGGGGATCACGCGAAATATTTCAGTTCATGTAGAGTTGACATGATGTTTTATTATTAAATAAAACTACATATACAGAAACAAGCAAGAGGTATATAAATGTATCAAAAACTTTTGTTCTGCGTTCACATGACAGCGTTCAGTTCCACGACAACAATTTTCAATGCTAGGAAACTATCATTAAAAGATTCTTTATCAGGTTAGCTCTGTGCAACGTCTCTCTGCTCATGTTCCTCTTCGTCATCATTTCCAAGCTCTTCCTCATCGCTCGTGCTGCTGCTAGAGTCGCTTTCATCGTTTTCAGTCATGGCATACTCTTCAGGGTACATGAAGCAGTACACATTATCTCTAACCTCCGGCTTGAGGTTTGTGATAATTCTGCTTCCTGCGGCGTTGCTGAAATGGTTTCCTTGCAAGAGCTGTGCAATGTCTGCCGCATCTCGATCAAAAAGCAATTCGGAAACTTTCTCAACGTCGATGCACCCTTCAGGGACGGCAAGGCAAGGAGGATACAGAAGACATTTCGGAAGATCATTACCTAGCGGGTTTCCGGCACAAATACTATACACTCGTTGGACGTTGTTTTCAAACCATTTCTTTTTTCTTGCATTCGATTTTCGACGGTTTTCTTTTTTTCTTCTTCCCTTGCTGATGCGGTCTCTATGTAGGCCCTTGAAAATGCTACAAAAACTGTCTTCACTTTCTTGTAGTGTCTCTGTATCCCGCGTTACCTTTTGCACCTAAACCTTGACGCACTTGATCTGCTTTACATTGAAGTCGTGAGCAAATTCTTCTCCTTGCTTCTAGATAAGCCCATTAGACTGGAAAAGCGTAAAATCATGTTCTTTCAAGGCTTTCACTTAAGGATTACCTTAAGCACCTTGAGGTGATGGAGTTCAAAAAGAAGAAGAGAGCAGAGGAGCGTGCGAAGGAGAGCCAGAAAACCAAGGAAAAAGTCTATGCTGATTATGCTTGAAAAGATCTGTGTGAAGATTCGACCAAACTGAAACAGCTTCGAGTGCCAGAGCTTAACAAGTACCTCAGACACCATGGAATACACCAACACATCAAAAGCCCTAAGAACGACAAGGTGAAGGTAATCGCAGGGCATTGGCTTCTCCAAATGAATCAAATCATATTGTACATTGCAAAATATATACATGTCAGGTTTAATTATGATAATGTCTCTTTTGAAAGGGGAGGTCACCCCCAAAAAATGACCGCCTGTGGGGGGGGGGCATGAGAAAAAATGAGGACTGGGGGGGGGGGGCCACGGTAATTCGTAATGGGGTTCAAAAAATTCCACCAGCCCCCCTACCTCGTAAAAAATGAACAGTCCCTTATCGACAAAGAGCACATCAATGATATCACGGGATACGTTCTGATTAGTCTTGTCACGAACATGACAACTATATTTATCCAAATTCACGAGAGGACTGGAGCTTTATGGACTTGGTGATATCATAAGGCAAAAGCCAGAAATATGCAAGGCACTATTTGTGATGGGGCATGAAAAGGATGTTGATGCAAATTATGTCTTTCCCCTTATGAAACCATGTTATTCTGTGGAGGGGTCAACTAGAAAGGACGTTGAGGAGTCTGTGATGGACGGCTTTCAAGACATTTCGATATCTTTGGAAGATGAGCAGAACATCAGTGGATATACTGAAGCTCTAACTTGGAATTATGATGACGGTGAAGACAGGAGAAGTGAAAGGCAGCAAAGTGACAAACAGCCGGCGGAAGAATTTCAAACAGCAGATGTTTATGTGCCCGGTGTCTTAGGTTGGCTTACTGGTCAAAGACACCGACCCACTGATGGGGATCCCCTCACAATTATTGTTAACTTTGACCACGATTGTTTAGATCGTAACCCAAAGCACACTATCCTGTTTTCCACGTGTTGCAGGGGAGTTAACTCTTCCAGTGTGTAACATGGGTGACACAACAATTTCGCCATACTTTCCTTCTCGAATACTGTAAAGGCCAATCTTTTTTAAGGCCGTAGAGACCTTCAGCATTTCTTGGTTTCTAGCTAACTCCATTGTGTGTGTTTCATAAAATGGTTATATTCATGCCATTGAACGTGCAACTGTGTTATTTAAGATTGTGGTTGCAGAGTAGGCATTTTTATTCTTTACATTTTAAATTTCTTTCTCTGCTTGATGATGGTCCACAAACTACAGTGTAAAGTATAGGGGTTTTAAGGGAGGAATGAAGTGGAATGAAATAACTCTTCCCCCATACAACTTACTCTAGTACATGCGATTGTGGCTTGTGCACCATGTACCAAGTCCCAGGTGACATCATGAAGCACACAACAATATAGAAACTACAACAAACAAAATGCACTGGAAGAAAAGTATAGAGTAACAATGGATGTGGTCCATGGTGTGCAAGTCATTATTGTTAATGACATGTACAACATCAAGCAATAATTTCTTCTCAAGAACTTGTAAACCAAGTAATTGCCTCTTTGCTAATACCATATGTTACTTGTTTGTTTTGTTCACGTTTCCTGGGCTAGACTCAGTCGGTGCGTAGAGTTAAAAACTGGATTTAAGGGTAAATATGATCATCCGTGACAAACTGTAAACCTTTGTGAAAGATATTATGCTTCTGTTAGAAGAGAGGTTGTGTTTCTCAATGAAACAATCTGATTGACATTAACAAATATTATGGTTAAGAGAAAGGTTTTTTCCTGACCTCGCATCTTTTACCCTTTAGTGGGTCTGTAAAAATGTGTTGTTATTGTAATTTCAATTTAATAGTTTTTAATTCTTTATAAATTGAAACAGAAAACTTTGAAGTGAGCAAGCCATGTTAAGTTCCTTTTCTGAGCGGCCTTACAGAAGTATTGACTGACTTATTGAAAAAAAAAAAAAACATTAAGAAACAAAATTTAAAAGGCTTCTGCCCTAGGCAAACATGTGTCACATTGAACGTGTTACTTATTGAAGGTCTGGCACTGGAATAAAGTTTCGTTCTTTTTGTTGTTACCCTGGTGAATGATGTAAGGTTTAATGCTGCATTGCCTTGAATCAAGTTTTATTGCATTTTTCGGTACTTAGGTTCAAACAATTGAATTTGTTTGGTGGCCCGAGGAAAATGTTGAACAAATGCACATGCAGAAAAAATTGCTGAATGGTGTTTATTCAAGATTTTAAATCCATTTGGCTTCCTCATTTGACATCATAGGACAAAGTAATACAACAGTGTTTGTTAAGTTTCTCATTTAGTTTTCATTATTTTTAGTTTCATTTCATTTCCAGTGTTTCATTGACGTCATTGCTTTGTTTCTAATACTCCCCCTGGATAGCTCTTATTTCAGTCGATTGCACGTTTCTCGCATGATACAGTAGAAGAATAAGTTTTTGTGTCATTTAGTTTCGTTTCGTTATTTGGACGTTTACTGTGTGGGTCAGATATGTAAGTAATCATTTTCGTTTCCTTTCGTAGATATTTTTGTTGATTTAGTCTTCAGGTTATTGATTTAGTACTTTATTTGTCCCCTCGTGGGCATACATGTGTACATTTCGTAACAATTTCGCATATTTCGTTATTTACTACAGTATGGATATTTCAGTTACCTTTCTACTAATTTTATCATCATCGAAAGTCAATATATAAAGCATTTTATTTAGGTTAACAGATGTATTTGTTAATTGTTTTCCATGCAACAATAAGATTCTTCATGTGCGGGGTTCCGCCCCCAAAATGCACAAGCTTGTACTTTGTCATTAAGCCTTTCGTACACAATTATGTTTTATCGTCTTTTGTTTCGATCGCTACTCGTTTATATTTTGATTTCCCCTATAAGTTAGTTCATTTAGTTGTATTTGTTTTTTAGTTTACGAGAATCATTGATCGCTGGCAAGAAATAAATCAAGTTGATTACATCACATCATTTCATCGCCTGCAAGTTTTTGATCTCCGTATTTAAATATCCCCGATCAGTTAGCGACACGTTTGATTTGCTAGTAAAGAACATGACCGTCGCTTCGCATTAACAGTAAAATATCTCCACATACAAGAACGTTACAAGATGTTTGAAGAAGAAAACGCCAAAGAAATAATCGATAACCTCCTCAGCGTATCACCCACAGTGTTAGCTAGTGAGGATGTCATGCAACAGCGTGGAACGCGTGACCGGAAACCCACGGAGAAGGGACGGTTAATGAACATTTCCATGCTCCAACAAAAGAGAGACGCCGCATATAAAAGGATGGCAAAGCAAATCAAGAGGATCAATTCCTCCTATATGACCTGCGAGGACATTGAATGGTTTTCTCAAGAAAGAGATAATCTCGATCAGTTGAAAGAAGATTTCCATCAAGCGTTCACCGATTATCATGAGCTCATGCCGACGGAACAGGAAACTGACGCCTCCTATAGGTGGTTTGACCTCAAAGATCGCGAGTACCAGGACTGTCGTTTGAAGATCAGTGGTCAAATACATGCCCGTGAGAAGGAAGCAGCTAAACAACACTCTGTGAAGAGCTATCGTTCAGGAACAAGCAGAACAGGTAGTACGAAGACGTCTCACGTGTCAAATTCCTCCGCTCGGTCGAGAAAAATAAAGGCCGCTGCGAAAGCCGCCAAACTAGAAGCTCAAATGAAATTCCTCGATAAAGAAGCGGAGCTTAGAAGACTGACATGTATGAAGGAGCTGGCAATGGCGAGAGCTGAACGAGATGCCATGAAAAGTCTCGAAGAAGAAGAGCAAGAAAGGGCAAATAAGTTGGAGGAGGCTACACCGAAAATGGTTCCTGTGAGAAGTAAATTAAACGAAGACGCTCCTCCTTTCGTGCCAATGCAATCTGGGCCACCCGCCGAAACGGAAGTTAAGTTCAAAGCCTCTCCGAATCCATTTGCTCCTCCCTTGTCGCAAGAATCACCGCAGCCACGCAAGTTTGAATGCAGATCAGATACGCCTCTTAATCCCTTTCACACCCCGTCACCGAAACCGCGAGGTGTGTCTGTGAAGACGGAACCTAGAACGTACGATTCGCCGTTTTCTGCTTTAACTCCAACACCTCCTGGACCAAGTCAGACTCCTGCGATAGAAGAGCGTCACTCGTCTTGGCCAGTGAATCCTTTTTTGTCACCTGTATTGAAGTCAGAAGTCGAGATCGCACCCCCAAGTCCAAGTGAGAAGGCTTTACAGGCAATTATAAAGCTCCAAGCTAAGCAGACTGAACTTAGCGCCCTCATAGCGCAGCAACAACGAGTGAGTTCTCTCCCTGTGCAAGAACCTCCAATCTTCAGTGGAAATTACTTTGACTACCCTATCTTTACAAGAGCCTTCGAAACCATCATTGAATCAAGAGTTCCATCGGACAGAGAAAGGCTTTACTTTCTTAACAAGTACACTGAAGGAAAAGCAAACGATGTTATTAAGGGCTTCGTCACTCTGAACTCTGATGATAGCTACCAACGGGCTAAGAATCTACTTGCCCAAAGATATGGGGACCCTCATCGTGTTTCTGACGCCTATAAGTCCCGATTGAAGGAATGGCCACAAACAAGCGAAGGTGATAGTAACGGTCTCCAAGCATTGTCCGACTTTCTTGGCCAGTGTGAAGAAGCAATGAGAAGTATACACTCCCTAATCGAGTTAAACTCCACAGAAGTACTGAGGCAAGTTAGCTCAAAGTTACCATCTTATTCTGGTGTGAAATGGTGTCGACACGCGTTCGATAAGAAGAAGAAAGATGAACGAACAATCACCTTTCATGACCTTGTGAAGTTTGTCAGAGCCGAAGCTGATCTCGCCACTGATCCTGTTTTCTCCCCCGATGTGCTGAAGATGGAAAAGAAGAAGAGTCCCGAGAAGCAGAAAACAGGTATAAACCGAAGGCGTCCACCTAGCCTGAACAGCCTTGCCACTACGGGAGAAGAGTCAAAAGGGAACTGGAAGTCACCTACTGGTGAGAAAACTGACTCAAAGTTAAAGTGTCCGGCGTGTTCAAAGTCCCATATGTTGTACAACTGTGAAGAGTTCAAGAAAAAGGACATAAGAGAGCGCCATGATTTCGTGAAGTTGAACTCACTTTGTTTCGGCTGTCTTCAGCGAGGTCACCTCTCTAAAGACTGCAAACGTAGACTAACGTGTCAGGAGTGCAAGAAGCCGCACCCAACAACCCTTCATTATGAAACTAAGAAGCAAGCCAAAGAACCACAGAAAGCGATGGAGAAAGAAGATAGCTCCATTCCAGCCATTAGTAACTGTTCTAGTACAGATAGCCAACGGGTCGTCATCAACTCATTAATTGTACCTGTGTGGCTTCACCATAAGGACAGTCCCAAACGGGAGATTATGACTTATGCCCTCTTAGATGAAGCTAGCGATACCACATTCATCAAGTCTGAAGTTCTCAAAGACCTTGGCCTGAAGGGACCCGAAGTTACACTCAATCTGTCCACAATGTTAGGACGACAGGAGATTGCTGTTGAGAAAATAAGCGGTTTGGTTGTTGAAAGAATCGATAAGAGAGTGGAGATCGAGCTTCCAAGGACATATTCAAGATCAAATATACCTTTCAGAAGAGACCAAATTCCGAGAAAGGAGACGGCAAATGAGTGGCAACACCTTCGGAAGATCGCCGATAAGCTGTATCCATATCAAAGTAGCATGGACGTAGGACTGCTGTTAGGCTGTAATTGTCCGAGAGCGATCAAGCCACGAGAAGTCATTCTGGGGAAAGGAGAAGATCCCTATGCTGTTAGGACCTTGCTCGGTTGGGGCATAATTGGTCCCGTCATCATGCCTGCATCTAAATAAGAAGCTGATGAAGTTGACGACGATTTTGTAACATGTAACAGAGTTTTGGCATACGAGACAGGCAGCGATTGTTCAAGAAATATCGCATTTGTAACTACCAGTCAGACGAAGGAGGAAATCACCCCTAAAGAAGTAAAGATGATGTTTGAA